AGTGGGAGAGGGAGAAGCAGGCTTCCCGCTGAGCAGGGAGCCCGATGTGGGACTCAATCCCAGGACCCTGAGATCATGACCTGAGCCGAAGGCAGATGCTTAACCATTTGAGCCATGCAAGCACCCCTTTATCGGGGTAATTTAATATACTGTACATTGTGAGAGGATCCCTCCTATCTAGTTAATTAACACATCTATCACCTCTTTTTTTTGTAAGAATATTTTTAGTTTTACCCTCAGCAAATTTCATTTATACAAAAACGGTGTTATCAACTATGGTAACCGTATTTTACATTAGCCATTGTTATTATTAAATTAGTTTGAAAGGTTTTAATTGGAAATAGAGGACTTTTTAAATAATAATTTTTTAGTATACCTTTTTAATTAAGTTTTTCCATATTACAGGTTTTAGAATATCAAATTTTATCTTACATCTTTTATAGTTTCTGTAACAAGTTAACATTTTATGATAAACTTCTCTGGTTCTCTTATTACTAAATAATACAATTTTCTATTTTTTTTAGACCATCATTGAATGTCTAAAATATATTTGTACTGGAGATTTTCCTCCTGGAACCAAAGGAAATACATTTGTTCATGATCCCAAGGTAATGGTGCTAGTGAACTTAAGTTGTTTTTTTTAAGATTTTATTTGTTTATTTGAGGGAGAGAGAATGAGCAGTGGGGAAGGGCAGAGGGAGAGAGAGAAGCAGACTCCCTGCCGAGCAGGAATCCCAGTGTGGGGCTCAATCCCAGGGCCTGGAGATCATGACGTGAGTCGAAGGCAGACGCTTAACCAACTGAGCCACCCAGGTGCCCTGAACTTAAGTATTTTCAAAATAAAATTTTTATAATTATAAAAATGATAAGGCTTATTGTAGAAAACCTGGCAGTGGAAAAATATAAAGAGATAGGAAAGTCCACACAGTCTTAGCACCCAGTGACAACCACTGTTGACATTTTCATGTATTTTATTCTCCTGTACATATAGTCTTACATAGCTAAAGTCATACCCTAGTTTTGCATTCTCATGTTTTTTTCCCACTTAAAGTTATCATAAGGTCCCCTGTCATTAAAGAATGCATTAAATTCTTAATCTAGGTTTTGGGCATATGGGTGCTTCTTTTATTCTTCATACTTTTTGTATGTCTGAAATATTTCCTACTTAAAACGTGTAACCTATTATGAACATTTTTAATAGTTGCATAATTTTCTTAGATTGCTTTTAGTTTTTCGTTAAAATGTGCCATAATTTAAGTCTTTGTGTACAAATCTTGGAATTACAGTGTTTATACCATTACTGAGTGTAAAGGACATAGATTTTCTATACTACATATTTTGGCTTACAGTTTTTTCTTGTTTTATTTTTTTTTATTTTTTTAAAGATTTTATTTATTTATTTGA